ATTGCTATATTACATATATACACATATAAAGTAGTTGCTGTGGGTGTTTTACTGTTTTTAGTTATTTTAACACCAATTTCTGCAACACTCTCAGCTTTGTCCACAACAATTTAAATCAGCTGTCAGATTAAATTTTTCAGTGTAACATCTACAATTCTATTTTTATTTATTATTTTTGTACAGATTCAACAACAGCTGCCACAACAGTCATGAATACAACAACAGTTATTACAACCCCAACAACAACTGTAACAAGTACGTGCTGAAATACAACTATTTTTTGAACAAATGTACTGTTCAGATGTTGTGTCTGACTTTATTCTTAAATTGTCTTTTCAGATTCAACAACAGTTTCTACAACAAATGCAAATACAACAGTTATTACAACCCCAACAACACCTGTAACAAGTAAGTGCTTAAATTGTATATATATATATATATATATATGTGTGTGTGTGTGTGTGTGTGTGTGTGTGTGTATATATATATGAAATAAAGTAGTTGCTGTGGGTGGTTTACTGTTTTTACTTATTTTAACACCAATTTCTGCAACACTCACAGCTTTGAATCAGCTGTCAGATTACATTTTTCAGTTTTACATCTACAATTCTATTTTTATTTTTTATTTATTTTACAGATTCAACAACAGCTGCCCCAACAGTCATGAATACAACAGTTATTACAACCCCAACAACAACTGTAACAAGTAAGTGCTGAAATACAACTAATAGATTATACAGATGTTCATAGTAATTGACCTGAGTTTAAATGATTTTATTGTGGCAGTAATACACAAAGATCCAATGGTTCTTACTGACTCAACAACAGTTTTATTACGTTGCATTTGATCACTGTGCCAGAATGACATCTGCCCTTTTGTGTCTGTCAGTGCATTTAATGTTAGTTATCTGACACATTGGTCCTATAAATATGCAGTATCTTTCAGTTAAAGATACTTATAACAGCTATAAAATGCTCTTTTAAGATTTGAATGTTCTTCACCTGAAGCATTTTACTTTTTACATTTTTCTTTTTCCAGATTCAACACCTGTTGCCACAACAGCTGTCAACACAACAACAGCTGCAACGACAATTGTAACAAGTAAGAGGTTCAAAATAATAAATCATTTTTCTTTGTCATAACTTAGCAGTTATTGGTTCAAATGT